TCACATCCCCTTCCTCCCCCATTGGCCGCCCACCTACCACGTGGTGGCACTTGAAGGCTTTCATGACAGAGGCCTCGTTGAGGAACTCGATGCGTTCCCGCATGGTGGCCAACTCGTTGACTGTCTTCAAGGCCACCTTGGTCTCCTCGCCCTCTGCCACCAAGTCCACCGCCAGCCCCTCGTACACCATCCCAAAGGAGCCCTGCCCCAGCTCCCGGATCACCGTGATCTTTTCCCGCGACACCTCCCACTCGTCAGCCACGTACACTGTGGGGCGAGGAGGAACCACCCCCTCACCATCCCCATCCGTCACTGTCATCACCCCTGTCGCTGTCACCATCCCCATCACCATTCCCATCCCCATCTCCTTCTCACCACCATCCTTGTTCCTCATCCTCAACGCCATCATCCCCATCTCCATCATCGCCACTCCAGCACCACCATCCCCATCCCTGTCTCCATCTCCATCCCCATCTCCATCCCATCATCATGCTTGTCCCCATCTCCATCTCCACTCCATCTCCACTCCATCCCATCATCATCCCTGTCCTCATCCCCATCTCCATCATCTCCATCATCCCATCTCCATCTCTATTTCACCACCACTACCCCACCTCTGACTCCATCTCCATTCCCAACTCCATCCCATCACCATGTTTGTCCTCATCCCCATCTCCATCTCCACCTCTCCATCATCTCCATCATCTCATCTCCATCATCTCACAGAATCACAGAATTGTTGAGGCTGGAAAAGACCTCTGAGATCATCAAGTCCAGCCTATGACTCGACAGCAACAAATCATCTCCATCCCCACCACCACGGAAGGGGGCAGGAGACTCCACGGAGACAGCCCTGCCCATCCCCACGTACTGTCCGAGGCACTGAAGTACTCAGGGTTGACCGAGGCGTAGAGCGTCCCGCTGGGGTACCCGTCGTTGCTCCTGTGAGGGGTGGGCATCGCTCAGAGGACGGGGGGGAGACAAGGACATGATGTCACCTTCCCAGGACTCTTCCCCAGCCCTGGGGGTGCAGGCGGGGGGGTCGGTACCTCTTCTTGTTGTAGAAGAAGACGAAGACGGCGAGGCAGGAGATGAGCACCATGAGGACCACGGGCGTGACGGTGAGCAGGACGTAGAAGCTGCCGGATTCCTCCTCGGCTG